TGGCGGGATCGGGCTCGAGGGCGTGGGCAACTTTAGCGCGGGGAGGATGAGGGAGAGCTTTGTTGGGTATCTGAACGATACGTTTGAGCAGGAGGGTTGAGTTCACTCTGCTCCTGAGGAGAGGAAAGGGGAAAGGGGGGGCGGCGGGGGTGAAGTGCTAGGTGTGGAAAGAGACAAAAAGGCGTTTGCGATAGAGGTTGTATAATTGATACCCCTGAGATGGTGTTCACGACGAATTGGGAATATTCTGTGAGGGTTTGCTTGTGACGTGGGTGAGGCGACATAGAGTTACGGTGGCGCATCGCTCTCGTTATCGAGAAGTGTTTACCCTCAACACACACTGCCAAGCACTTTTTACTTTGGTCCATCTGGCCTACCGCAGAGGCATCTGGTTTGTGAAATCTCCTCCGGCGGAATGTACCCATCATGCCTCACTGTGGTCTCTGAAGAATTGACATTCTTGGATCCTCAAATACTCGGTGTTGGCAGAGAATGAAAGAGAGAGACTCTTGCGTCACTGTCTGTACTTGATTGGTACAGCTCACGGAATCCGAGTGGTCGATTGATTGCACACCGTCAGGAATGCTGCAGAGGTCTCAAGATGACCCAGCGAGGCCTAAATGAGAGCCGCCACGCTGCCAAGACGATTTAGACACTTGAGCAAAGTCTAGATCATGCTGGCGTACAGATTCTGTGTGATTCTATCTTAGCCATGGTCTTGGTGGTGTTGCCTATTTTGGAGAAATGCAACTCGCCGAGGGACCTTCCAACTCTACACAGCAGTAAGGCAGATCGCCAAGATCCGCGTTACTGAGTCCCAGTCAGACCATTTTCTCCTTTCCAAGACGGCTTGGCATCTCCTTGGGAGAAGGTGGTCGACAGCAGAAGCTAGCCGGATTCCGGATACCGAAAGACGAGAAAAACAAAGTCTCCGTTCCAGGTCTCCCGATCGGGGGCAGATTCAGCAGCTTTACAAAGTAGCCGCCGGGTTCATCGTGAAGATTGTAGAAAGCATCCACATCATCCATGGACTCACCTGGCATACCGCTTCGGGACCTAGACTCCCTTACTTGGCCCGCGAAGAGAGCAGACACATCAGGTAGACAACCTTAGAGGTGCGACGGACTACGACGGACACACCCGACTTGGCGATAAATCATAGATCTCAGGTGATGAGTTTCACCACGCCCTGAATGCGAGTTACGAATATTAGCATAGGAGTCTCGATACAGGGTAAAGGCTTGTCGTAGGCCAAGAGAGGAGGGAACTGTGGTCGCGGCGAGTAGCGCCTCGGATGTTAACCTAAAAGGTTCGGGACGGGGAATGCAAAAGAAGCGGCAAAGTCTAGGAGACACCGGTGAATGCTAAACCGCATTGGAAGCGACGTGGACGGCGTCGTGTCTTGACTAGCCGACGCCGGCTCTATAGAAGACTGTGTGACTGGGATATGTGGTTTTGTTGCACTTTACGAGGTACGCAGTCCAGACTGAGACGACTTCACTCATGCCAGCTGGTGTGTTTGGCGAGGCGATTTGGCACTGGCTTGATAGCTCTCGTCGGAGCCTGATTGTCTGATTTGAAGCTTTCGACCGCTTCCAGCCCCAACTTTGAGATGCTCCTGACTTGTCTGAATCTCAGCATTAATCAGTCCTCATTATGATCAAAGCGCATCGGTTACTTGAGATCTTGAACTCAGCTGTGTTGTCTACAGCGCTGTTCCTGGTGGGAATAATGCGTCGTGTGGTTTCCATTCCGAGTTAGATCTCAATCAATCAGACTCTCTGGTCAAATGGTCTACGGATACGGATACACAAATAGATCGACGAGCTTGAGGCGAGGTAGATGGTCGTTTACTGGCCAATGCAGAGAGTGTGTCGCGTGTCGTGTCAGCCGGCGGGGTTTGGGTGTGAAAGTCGAGACTCGGCCGCTTGCCTCACTTTAATTCGGCCGGCCTTGCAAGCAAGTCGCGTACTCCTTAGCTCAGACTGAAGCTGGGTGATGCGGGTCCACGATCAGGAACACTAAAAAAAAACAAAAAAAAACGCACAAGCTGGATTGAGCCGTACGACTGTGTCTGTGTTGAGTAGGAGCAGGTTGTGAACCGTGACACTAATGCTGCGACAGTGTCATGAGGGTAAAGTAGCCGTGTGGGCTGATTATTTTCGCTGGAGCTGCGTGTCAGAGTGTGCGCGCCGTGCTATGGATGCGGTTCGTCTGGAGCGGGCAACAGCAAAGGGAACAAAAATAAAATTGAGAGACATCCGTCAGATTCAGAGACGGGCAGGACGGCAGCACGGGCAGGCGCAAGCAACGGCAGCGGCAACGGCAAGGACATAACGGCAGGCTGCCCCCGCCTTGAGCCAGTCAGAAGCAACCTGACGGTGTGTGCAGGTGGGTTGGACGGGAAAGGAAGGGACGATGAAAGACGGATGAGAGGAAAATCCAATCGCCAAGATCGCTGGCCAGCCACGAGTGATAAGCTTTGCCAAGAGGAACAGAGCCAAGACGGGCAGGTGTGGAAAAGACGGGGTGTCGGGTTGGGGAAGTTTAGGAAGGAAGCACGAAGAACGGGGGAAAGAAAGAAAGCACAAGCCACCTCATCTGCTTACCTTCCCACGCTTTCCTTACGGATACCTACGGATGGCATACCACCTACCTATCTGATGCTGCAGGCTGTAGCCCGGTGGCAATCACGACACATTCGTACCTAAGAACACAACACTCACTTATTGCACCACCGAAGCCTGCCAATTCGTCCGGCTGCAAGCTCCCAAAGGTCCAAGAATAGGTAACTTAGCAAGCGCCTTCCCGTGCCTGCCTCCCATGATTCCATCTGTACCTACAGACCAAGGTACGCACGATTATCTGCGGGGTTGAATGGGGGCAACACCATCTGGTACTGGCCACTGGACTGGACAGTACCTAGAGCCAACAACAGGTTTTGGCCCGGCTGCCACCTGCCGTTCTGCTGATTGTCTGCCACTCCTCGTCTGCAGCAACGTAGGCCAAGTCGATATGCTTTGCCGGATACCGACATCACCTCACTCTCCTTCAACACATGTATAATGTATTTATCACACCATTCGTACGAATACTTGCACATCAAGCATCCTTCCAAACAAGCAACACCCAGAAAACTTTTTAGAACCCCTGTGTCGATGAGGATTTGCCGTTGGCCTGAGCTCTTGATCCCCTTTTTGCGGACTCGGGAACGATGCAAATGGCCGAGAAGGGACGGACGGGAAGCTTGTTCCAAAGCAAAAGAAAAATCAATCCCAGCGCCTCATATCCGTCACAAAAGACAGGGCTACGCCGCCAAAGGACCTGCTTAGTGGTGGCCTGTCAGTGGTGGTTTTTTTTTTTTGCACAAGTTTCCCCTGCTCATTTCCAACACAGGTACGTACTCGGTCAGTCACCCATTTGGACGTTGGCCCGCGTCCATGGGTTGCGGATGACCCGCAGTTCTCGCCCAAAGACTCTGCTCATTGGACGTCCCTTGACCGGATGGGTGAGCCCGGGGCAAGGGGCGTGGTTGCAAGAGGGAACGCCGTGCCCGGGGACCCTGGCACAGTGTGGGATCCTTCCGCAGCGCTGGCCTTTCATCATTTCCTCATCCAGCTCAGTGGCCGCCGAAGCAAGCCAGCCCTGGAAGACTGTCAGCACTGGGGCTCCTTCCGTTCTCCTCTCCGTCTTGGTAGCACAAACCGTCCGTCCGTTCAATTCTTCCGTCTCCGTATTCAATCGACAGCGATCACAAGCATAAACTACGGATACGCTCTCACCTCTATTTTATTTAGAGTTGGCAGAGCCACGATAGGCGACGATGAGACCGAATTTCCTGATGTCACCGCTCCCCCTCAAGCTTTCATCAAGTTCAGAAGAAAAAAGTACAAAGGTAACGAGTGATGAATCGACAGGGTGAGAGTCGAGTACCAGTCGAGGGGTTACACTCTTGGTCAGCCCTTTTACCCTTTTTCCGTGTTTCATGAGCCAAGACAAAACGCTCCGAGCTCAGGACTCAAGAGACGACTGGCCGGCCATCTGAATTGTGTACTTGATCAGCGCGGCTGCCCTTCTCCGTGTCAGGGTGCTCCCCTCGAGACGGGGAGGCTTAGACACCCACCGTACCACCGCACCGTTCTCGTTCCCAGCTTCAGCCAACCCTCGCGGACACGGTCTTTCTTCACTTCAACGGTGGGCACGGCGATGCAGCCTGCTATTGACTAGCGCTGGGCGTACAGTGTCGTACTCCCCAGAGTACGTACTCTTTCTGTATTAGATAATGTCTACCACTTATTTTTGTAGGTAGGGACACCCACGATGCAGGTGGCTGACGGGACTGGCGGCGTCCACTTGTCTGGCTCACCTGGCACGCTGGTCTAGGTATTGCAGAACAGTACCGAGTTGACTTCTCCCATTGTCGCCGGATATCGAGCAGCACCGCTTTCTGCTTGCCGAATCCGTTAGATGGTGGCGCGCCTGAGTGATTCTTCCTTATTGCCCAACGATGATTCAATAGTCGAATGCCAGCCTCAATTAGACGACGACGGACTCTCCACTGCTAGGACTCGTGACAGCCCGCGAAGAAGCTTTTTTGAACGAGCCTTCTGTCATACCACGCGATGCAGGACGTGAACGACAGCCGACAGGCTGATTTGTTCTCTAACACCAACTTTCCCCTCCCGTCTGATCTCGATGGCAGCGCTCGTCCTGAGTGCTCACAGTGCAAAGCTGACGAAGAAGGGGCATAGGCGGGGTCTTTGCACGCCTTCTCGCTGCAATTTCAATGCGACGGTATTGAATCTCATACTTGGTGCCTCTTTGGAAGCAAGTCAATCAATTATTCGCAGCCATACCCTGGTGTCGGATAGCACGTGTCGTACCTACTGTACTGTGTTAGGTACGCAATACTGCGTATTTTGTCTCCCATCTGACAATCCCACGAAGCTGGAGCCAGCGTCCTCACGGATCGACGATGGATTGCGGAATGGCGTCCGGCAATGCCATGCAGAGTCGGAAGCTTCTTCACACGCCTTCTTGCCAAACGGCGAAGGGCCCTTTTCTTGGTGTCTGTAGATCGCCCCGAATCTCGTCGGGTCTGCCAAGCTGTCACTACACGATCGCGCAGTGCTTCGCAACAACTCTTGAGATAGCCAGTCCCTCTGACTCGGGAATTCACAGTACAGCTACTGTGCGATGGAGATGAGGGCTACATGAGCCCCACTCCTCATGCCACGGCATCCACGTACAATCACCATGGTCCGAGTCGTATCCGATAGCATTAAGCACAGTTAGCGAAAACGCAGAGCCGGAGAGGGTGTGTAGATAATCCCAGTCCCACGGCTTACAGTGTGCTTCGCCTTCCTCGCACCAAAACCACGTACCGCCCCGGCACCCCCCTCGAGAATCAGAATGACACTGGGAGAGTCGCTGCTCCCCCCCAATTCTATCCCATATCCATCCGCGTCCCCCCGACTTGCTATTCCAAAACACTTTCGAGACGGTCTACGACTCCACCAGACGAGCAAGAACAGCCAGATCTGGCCAGCACCAATCTAACAAAGCGCAACACCGTACACACCATTCAGCACGCCGCCTTCCCCTCTACGGCGACTCAGCAGCCCCCCCGGAAGTAGCTTTTACACTCTCCTTTCCCCCCGGCCTCCTTCTTTTGCCCTCTCTCTCTCCCCCGTATTCTCTTGTCCTCCCAAAATCTCTCGGCGCCCAGCCTGCGATCCCTCCCACATCCCCCACACGCAAGCCTTCTTGGAACGCTTTCTACCGACAACCTCAACCTCGACCCGGTTTATTAACAATTCGATTGTGACCTTTGGCTATTTTGGTCTTCGCCTGGGAGAACTTGGAACATTGACGACTACTTCGAACCAACTGCTCAACCCTTCGACGACTCTGTGCGCGACTTCAGAACGCCTGGACTCGTATCCTCGACGCTCGCCGCACCCATCCGCCCGACCGAGTCCCGGAACTCGCGTCGCTCGACGACAACAACTCGACGCCTACGCCAATCAACACTGCGAATCCACCGACGACTGCGAAGCTTATTCGATGGCGAGTGTTCGCGAGTAGGACGAAGCCTCTTTCGATCCTCGCCTGCGGCTGGCCGCTCTGTTCTTCATCGACAAGCATCCGACGAGTCGGCGCCGCCATCATGGTAGATCTCGCCGCAGCCGCGAGTCCCTTGCCCTCTCTGGGCGCCGCTGGGGCAGCAGCCGCGAAAATCGCGACCGCCGCGCCTATTATTATTGCGAACAATGGCATCAACTATGAAGAAACCACGACCGGAGGCGCGGTACAATACAACGACCTGCGTGACCCTTTCTTCGCCTCCATCTTCCCCGTCTGCTACGCCCTCGCCGCGACGACAGTAACAGCATACATGCTTGTGATCATGCTTTTCATTACTCCCCGATCATTTCTTGACGGTGGAGTGGTATATCTGGGCCGACGCGGGTTTACGAGTGGTGGAACATCGAATGGAATCAGCATCGGAGGTCGACCATGGCTGCAGAAGGTGGCCGCCGTCACCGTTGCAATTTCTCTCACCATAGCAAGCGCCGATACGTTTAAAGTTGCCGAGCAGCAGTACCAGTGGTCAATTCAAGACGCCAAAAAGATGCAGTCGGAGGTTATGGACGGAACCGAACTGAAAGTCATTCGCCTCATTTCAGACACCTTTTTGTGGCTTGCACAAGCCCAAACTCTCATCCGACTCTTCCCACGTCAGCGGGAAAAGGTTATTATCAAGTGGACTGCCTTTGCGCTGATTACGTTGAACCTCATCTTCAGCGCCTTGAACAGCTTCCAGTATCCCACCAGCGGAAGCAATGGCAACGCCCGTCCACGAAGCTTCGTGGACGCCGTTCCCGCTCTCAGCTACCTATTTCAACTGTCCCTCGGCCTGTTATACGCCGCATGGGTCATTTACTATTCACTTATGAAGAAGCGATACGCCTTCTACCATCCCTTGATGAAGAACATGATTCTGGTCTCTACACTATCACTCTTCGCCATCCTTGTCCCAGTCGTTTTCTTCGTACTGGATATGGCACAGCCAGAATTCGCTGTCTGGGGAGACTACGTTCGCTGGGTCGGTGCTGCAGGCGCCAGTGTCGTGGTTTGGGAATGGGTAGAGAGGATTGAGGCATTGGAAAGAGAAGAGAAGAAGGACGGTATTTTAGGACGCGAGATTTTCGACGGCGATGAAATGCTGGAAGTCTCGGCGTCTGAGTTCCCATGGCTTAGGAGGAGAAAGAACAGAAACGGTGGTAGGGACGGTGACGGTGGCGAAGACGGACCTCAGGGTGGTTCTGGCGCTCAAGGTCCTCCCTCGGCCGAGCGAGGCAACCTTTGGCCAGGCATGACACAAATCGCCTCCAGATATCGCTCTAACCACGCCCACACCAACTCGGGAACAAACAATCAAGGCGGCCAGAGATCAAAGGGCGGTCTGTTGCGTCCGCCCATGTGGCCCTCTCGGCCCGCACCCGCGGTGACGCCCGTCAGCCGTACAGACACAGCCAGCGCAGCGAGCACCGTATATGCCGTAAGATATCAGCTGCCTTCAGAGACAACTTCACGGACACCCGAGGCAGTCATCCGAGCTGCGAACCAAAGAAACGCTGCAGCTGCCGTGTCGAGGAGTAACTCGACATCATCTAGGAGCGAATCGACAACGAGTGACGACGAGCTCTCAATGGCAGCGCCCGTGCCAAGACAAGCAACGCACAAGACCGTTGAAATCGACACAGAGGCCCAGGAGGACATGACAGAGAAGAACCGCAATGGATGGAGATCCTTAGTGGCCAATCCACTCTTCCGCCGCACTGCCCGCGATCCACCAGCGGAGGTGATGGCCCACACCGAGTCAAAGCCCGAGGTGCGTGGAGGTCACGATGATGCGGGTAGATGGGATCTCCGGGCTCGTTTGGAGGACTTTGCTGCGACGCAGGCCGAGAAGATCAGAGAGAAGATGCGACCAACTCCCGAGACAGATAGCCTTCCGGTGACTGTCATTCCTGCCCCACCAAGACAGGGAGCGGCACTGGCCCAACTATTGGAAGAGGAGCAAGACCATGAGCAACCGGGTCTCAGCAGAACCATTAGCGACGCCTCTGCACTCTCGCCTCAAGCTGCGGCTGGTCTGGGAAGGACGCAAAGCAATTTCTCTCGTCGGTCCCCTGCCGCAGGTCAAAGTCAAGAGCCTGCCACTCTTCAGCTCAGCAGACCACCTCTCTGGCCTGGAGTAAGAACTCAACATCAGGACTTTGAGCCGCATTCACCAAATGCGCCGCCTACGCCCTGATGATGAGTTTTACGCGGTTTACGAGTTTCTTTGTCGATTATTCAAAAGCGTGGCGCCGTGGCTTTCTGACTCTTTTGCATCGCGAGCAAGCATAACAGCGCATTACTACGGGAGAACGGACGACTCTGGCACGAGTCTCGATTGGTTGTTCAAATTCAAAGTGTATATTGCAGATGGAGTATATGGGACTGGGGAAAACGCCCTCACGAGGAAGCGGAAACCAAAAATCTTTTGCGAATAATGAGGAGGGGACCCAATTGCGGTTTCATGTACATGTTTGGGGAATACGGAACGAAAGCCTACAGTTGGGCGGATGCAGCGTATAGAAACGCGGCGTTTGGCGGCTTTGTATGTACTTCAGCCTGGCCAACAGGTGATCCCTCCCTCTCAGAGCAGGAGATGGTGATCAAGCCGCGCGCGCTGTATGAGATGGGGCCTCATGTTGTGGAGAGATATCTGCGAGCCGTAGTCAAACTGTGGTGAGGTGGTTGAAGCGCGCAGTACCAGGGGCCGTTTAGGGGATGGACATGAGGTGGTGAGAGGCAGATTTAGCGATAGCCGCAATGGTTTCAATACGTTCAATGGAAACCTTTCCAAATGACTTGTTTACGGAGTACACTTGCTTGACGTGAATTGTATGACGGTCTTTTTTGGATTACCAAGTCAGAATGATGCATGCTCGAAGAATCGTACTTGACATCCATAGTTGTAAATCACCTGCACAGTAGTCAACAGTTGAGACCACGTTTGCCGTTCACCGAGGTGGCAGCATACATCTTTCTATCTCTCGTATCCTTTGTATCCTTGGCCTAGCCTATGCCACTTGGCAAGGCCGAGCCGTAGACCTTATTTCATCTGCTTGACTGGTACTCGGAGCAGACATGACACGGAGGTCGCGTAGTCAGGAGCTCCAGGAGCGTGTTGTATCGCCGCCACCACTACTACCACCAGAGATCGCCGGGGTGTTCCACCGGCAAACGGCGAAGTGAATGTGAGAGACAGCAAAAGTGCGGCCAGTAGCACCCCCGTGAGAACTCTCCGTTTCCAATATGACGGGAAAATCTTTCACTGTATTGGGTCTTGGCACTTGGCAACTGCAAGAGAGGCTGTGATAAACTCTCATTTGAAGGTTCAAGGGGGGTCCGGCTGAGAGTCCATGGGGCTTGAAGGCTGGACTTGGCAGACGAGCGGCCTGAAATACTGGATACCCTCGGGCATTGCTGGTGAGCATGGGCGGAATTCGGGGCGTCCTTTGTCGAGGGCGAGAACGACGGGGCCAAGAGATCTGCGAATGCAGCCGTTTGACAGTGGATGACTGGAACCGTCTCAGTGGCGTGAAAGAAGCATTCCACCTTGGCGCTCAGGGGTGTCTCTCTCTCTCTCTCTCTCGGATGCCTCCAGCAAATTGCTGAAGATGACAGAGGGCGTACAACATGGCGCAGAGGGCTTCGCCAAGTTTTGCCCCGTCGTGGCTGATGGCTACGATGCGTCAGCAGCATGATTTCGGCGGCCCTCCACCGTGATGTTACAATCTCGACTACGGCGGATGGCGAAGGACATTCGTTCGTTCTTGACGGTGACTCTTCAAAGGCAAATATCGACAGAGCGTTGTAAGTGCACAAGGTTGTACCTTTATTAGCCCCCGACGACAGCGGCGGAAGATGGACTTGACTGCAGGACGATAGCAAAACTCCGAAGGCTGTGCAAGTGGTGTTATCCCGATCGTATCCGTACTCCGAGATCTTCAGGAAAGCTGTGCTATGCCACCTACGCAGGCCATTGGGCACCAGAGCAGCGAGCCGAGGCGGATTGAGATGCTGCCATGAAGACTACGGAAACTTTGAGAGAGACTTAGATGACGATTTTCCCAAGGTATACCAGGCGTGCCAGGCCATCGGGTTAAGGTACGAATAGGCTGTATCCATACTCCGTAGTCATACTCCGTAGCGGGGGCGGGAATGCATACATTCCTCAGTGTGTGGCATGTGAGAGAGGGTCGGCGGGGCCAGCATCCTGGCGTGTCATTTGGCGGGGTTGAAAGTCTGAGATGGTGTCCAACTGGACATACTGAGTGGAATGACGTTTCTGGAGACTGCAACTCGTCTGCCTCAACAAGAAACGACCTGCAGATTGATTCTCTATTCAAGTGGCACGAATCTGTAGAACGCAACGCATAGGCTCGGTGGATTGGCCCCGGTAGATGTGGTTCGATCCAAGGCGAAGGCAGTGTAGGTGGCCGTGAGGCCGACAATGATGTAGCTGCGCTAATCAATGGCAGCGGGCTGGCCTGGTCGATGCTCGTCATCGCAAGTCTTTGAGAATGGCAGAGGAAGTCGATATATGCGCCACGACGATTGTCCAAAGTTTGTTGTACATAACAATTGTTGATTAGCGAGAGAAGACAGTCTAGAAGAATCTAGCGTACGTCACTCTGGGGAATCTGTCATGCATGAACAAGTATGAAGCTTCCGGGCGAGGCTTGCTAGAGGCTGTAGCTATGCAGCCTTGCCTATCATTACCCCCTGAAGGAGGAATCGCGCTCATGCCACAGCTCTATGCCCTGGAGCATCATCGTCGCCGTCGACTTGGGCCATAACAATTTGTCGGTTACGGGGTATGGTATTCTGAATCCGATCTCGATCGCAGAACTAGCTTGACTCGTTTGCATGGCTGCCAGCTCAACATTGTGACATTGTCTGGCCGGGTCAGATTCCAAGGCACTCGGTTTTGAGCTTTATGAAACCTAGGTGCGAGCCGGGGGCATCTCTGTTCGCAGGTGACCTGGCTGGGGGAAAACGGGGAAGAGTGCTTTTCAACTATGCCATGTTGTCCGATCCAGAGGGATGGCCCTGGTTACGTTGTCCACGTCGCTGTTGCGTTTGCATGTGTAGCTGGAAATGTGGAGGCATTGTGAGGCGTGGGCGGGCATCTGACTGCAAAGGCGGAAAGACGATGCAACAGCACGGCGCTGTAAGAGAAGGGAAGAGAAGAGAAGGGGGTGGTGCTGGCTGCATCAGGTTGCGATCGAGCTGAGTTACAACAAGTTACAAGTTACACAACAACGGCGTGGCCAAGCACCCAAGATGCAAGAACCAACAGTCGCATCTCTCCTACAGTGGGTACGCCAAATGCAAGCCCGATAGATCGTCCCGGAAAGGAGGTACCTTAACTCAGGTAAGTATGTATTCCAGGTCCCTCTACGACCCTTACCACCCATAAGGTACTTCGTACTTCAGCATGCATTTCAGGTCTCCCGATTCCCGAGCAGGGGGCCATCGCGGGTAAGATGGGGCACGCACCGGTACCCCAAGCAGGAACCGGCAGATTAACGACGCCTCCGGCCAGGCGTGTGCAACCATTTGCTACGAGGTGCAGCTTTGCCATCGAGACACCTGTAGCACCTTACTGCAATTGTATAGCTTGCTGAAGTTGGTGTAAGCTCGTTGGCTGTCGTCAGTAGCTCCCGTCTCCATTCGGTTGGTCAAATTACCATCAACTCCGAAACGGTTCTTGGCGAATTTCTTCGATCCTTACTTGATCTTAATTTTTTCCCTTCCTATTTTTCCATCTCCGTGGCCCTTACCCGGTTTGATCATTTGAACGAATCCTTCTTTTTTCCTGACATGCCACCATGCGCTTGATCTCATCAAGGGCACCTGCACTTGTTTGCTCTGACGAAAAACCAGCGTCTGACCCCCCCCCCCCCCCCCTGGGATTGACTGAACATCCTTCTCACCCAGCCAGTCCTTCTATCACCTCGCTGTTCCAGCTCCTGCTCTTTGACCGCATTGCGGTGGTAAATGGAAAACAGACGACTGGCCCCTCGGTCAGACGAATTCACACGACGAAACACAGAAGGCTCAAGGAACAACCTTGAGTCCGACCTCGAGTTTCCCCCCCGTCGCACTTGTTCTTCAACAGCTCCACTGACCCGCCGACCACGTTCGCCCTGTCTTTCCTTGACCAAACTTCCATGATCGACAGCGGGCCCCCCTGACCTTCTTGACGTCTAATAAATCAGAACCTGGGAGCTCCTTTCCAACCCACGACTAACTGGCCCGGATTTCCTCCTCCGCACCCGCCGACAGCTTCCCAAACTCAAACTCGCTGGCTTTCTCCCCTCTCTTACTTCATTGCGACTTCATCCCGCCGTCCTGCCCTCCGAATCCACCGTCCGACTGCTTTAAATCACCCGAGACGCTGTCAGAAGCGTCCCTCCTTCACCATGGCCGACTCCGAACCCTTCCCTCTCCTCAATACCTCTGTCGACCAACTGCATTCTGCTATCGACCACGCCCCCAGCTCGTCACGAACAACACGACGACGAAAGTCAAGCGCACTCGGCCAAGACATCCGCGCTGGCGATACAGGCCCGGCACTTGCAACAGCCCGAGACAACACCTCCGTCATACCTGTAATTACCCCCCCCCCCCCCCCCCCCCCCCCCCCCCCCCCCCCCCCCCCCCCCCCCCCCCCCCCCCCCCCCCCCCCCCCCCACCCCCCCCCCCCACCCCCCCCCCCACCCCCCCCACCCCCCCCCCCCACCCCCCCCCCCCCCCCCCCCACCCCAACCCCCCCCCCCCCCCCCCCCCCCGGGATCCCATCTTTGCTAGTCGCCCCGGGCCTTGTTCCTAGATACTGGGCTGTGTCCAACATTCAACTAACCTCTCGCCTACTATAGACTGTTCCTACAAAACGTCCCTCGAAGCGCCGGCGAGCTCGTGGCGGCTTCGCTCGAGTTCGACAAGCCATGACCAAACACACGTACCTCGTGCCCGCCCTCATTATTGGCCTTACTCTGGCCCTTTATATTGTTCAGCCAAACGACTCGAACCCGCTTCATCGCTTTATTTTTCTCTCATACCGCTTACCATCCGACCCGGTCAATCCTGATGCCCCTGCTCAATATGGCAAGGGGCTATGGGACATCGCCTTTGTGGCATTTTGGACCGTCGTCTTGACTTTTACTCGGGAATTCATCATGCAAGAACTTTTGCGGCCACTTGCTCGCGCCGCCGGAATCCGCTCGCGTGGCAAGCAAGCTCGTTTTATGGAGCAGATGTACACTGCCATTTATTTTGGCTGTCTTGGACCTGCCGGTCTGTACGTCATGAGCAAGACGCCCGTCTGGTACTACAGTACCCGAGGCATGTACGAGGACTTCCCGCATATGACACACGAGGCTGGTTTCAAGTTCTATTATCTTTTCCAGGCTGCCTACTGGGCTCAACAAGCAATCGTCTTGCTGTTGGGTATGGAGAAACCCCGGAAAGACTTTAAGGAGCTGGTTGGCCATCACATTGTCAGTCTTTCTTTGATTGCTCTTAGCTACCGCTTCCACTTCACCTATATGGGACTGGCAGTGTACTCCACTCACGACATCAGTGACTTCTTTCTTGCTGTAAGTAGACGCTATTCCATGTGAGGCCACAAAGCCAGAAGAGGCTGGTCGGGGAGCTATAGGCAGTGCTAACTCATTCAACAGACATCCAAGGTACTGAATTACATCGATTCTCCAATCGTCGGTCCTTACTTCTTCCTCTTCATGTGCGTTTGGATTTACTTGCGCCACTTCATCAACTTGAAGATCATTCTATCTCTGTTCACAGAGTACACTACTGTCGGGCCATTCGAATTGAACTGGGCCACTCAACAATATAAGTGTACGCTGTCGCAGTACATCACTCTTGGACTTTTGTCATCACTGCAGGCCCTGAATCTTTTCTGGCTCTTCTACATCTTCCGCATTGCCTATCGATTCCTTCGCTACGACATCGCTGAGGACGACCGCAGTGATGCAGAAGTCACTGATGTCGACGACGAGGCCGAGAAGAAGAAGGCTCTTTCCGAGAAGACCAATGGCCACGCTAGCGGAGTCAACGGCACTGCGCCTCAGGCCAGGCTTGTCAATGGCCGCGCATGATAGAAACCCTCGACAAAGAATAGAGCAAGGAGAGGATGCAAACTGAAGCACCGTAGGTGTTGTCGGTTGCCATCGAATCTTTCGCCTACGACTAAAGTTACAACCGGCGGATATACCCAATTGCTGCGAAGAGACGGAGGGAGACACCAGGACATGTCGAGCACCCATTCATCGCTATCCGAAGTCGCGATAGTTTGTCGATTTGGAACAAGAAAAGTGGCTCAGCAGTTGCCGAAACGTGGGGTGCAGAGCGTTTGAATCGCGACACGTGCTGGGATTACGCCTCCTTACCGCATTGACTTGCACACATTCTTACGAACTGTGTGCGATAGGTGCAATCAACGGTCATGCGCCGAGGGCACAATACGTGCCCGATGAGTCCCAGAGAGACACTAACTGGAGACAGTCATTGTCAGACCGGTTTTAGGCAAGGAATCAATACCTAGACATTGGAAAGCATACGACCTCGGGTGTCGGTCATCGCTGATCGGTTAGCACCGGGAATACTTCTGCAAACAATCGGCATCTCTGAGGCTTAGCGACTATGAGCCGAGGTCAAGGCGTTTGTGGCCTTGGTGATGGTGGTGGTAGTGGTGGTCCCGAGAGGGGTGCGAGTGCGGAGGCAGACGAAGTGAGACAGATGTGCGTCTGTGGACGATGACGGCGCCTCCTCCTGCGCAACCAGGCAGCTTGACGGCATCCTCCCCCACACCGCCTGAATACGGTCTCACACCCACTGGGCTCTCGTGCTCCTTGTGCTCACGACATCCGAATCCACATCTCACTCATTCCCTCCCGCCCTCGTGATTTCATACCGCTTTAGTACCTCTGGGAACGAACACAAGACGGGAGATGACTCTTACCAGACTGAGACATTTCCCGGCCTATGGCTGTCGGTTCAGCGACAAGATCTGGAGAGACTCATGATGGGTTGGGAGGAAGTATCGCGAACGAGTAGACTAGAAAACTCTGCTATACGTGTGCGAAGGGAGGCGGGGAGGCGGGGAGGTAGAGAGGTGTGTTGTTATGTATGTGGTCTTACACTGGAGAAGAATGTCTTGATGTCTTCGGAGTCTCCAGTGTTTGTTCCTGTTATAGTCAATACTGTCTAGACCCCCATACCAACGATTTCAGAACAGTAGCTACTGGTTCGATCCAGTTGTATGCTCCATTTCCGGTGTAGTCTTCACGTCAGATGCGTACAGTTGGACACGCAGGACTTTTTTGAACCTATTTTGAGCATTGAGCAATATTGGATCGCTCCCGGCGCAAGGCCACCTTGCGCGGGGATCGCTACCGTCTATGGACCTCGACCTTTGGGTTGCCGCGAAGCTACCGAGTGTAGTAGCTACAGTCTTCCATAAAAAAGCAAGAAGAGAGGATTGGCCTGAATAGCCGCCCGCCGTCTCTCTTTCCTCATCCACCCTGTCCGGTCTTTGATACTGTGACTAGGAAAAAATGCAAAGTAGACTTGCTGATGGTTCCTCCACAATTAAGGGAAGATCCATCGTCCATCTACACCCACTGCGACCGCGTGGGATTTGGAAAAAAATGATAATGATGCTGGTCTGCCGCCGCTGTCCGAGGCCGTTTTCATCCGGCCCACGACCTTCGAGATCCAACCCCTTTTGGCCACCCAACTTAACCTGGGACAAGAAAAAAAAGGTAGGCCTCGTCGAATGTAAAGAATCTGGTATCTGCGATGCAATGTCGAACACGCTGCCCATGGTAGCAGGTGGCGATTTGTAGTCGAAAAACAAAATCTTATTGCTGGGAACCCATGATTAGTGTAGAAGCCGTCTCTCCTGTATAATGATGCTGATGATACCGAAAATGCCCTGTCCAATCCAGAGAGAAGAGACAAGTCGCTTGTCGCTGCTGTGAGGACACATGGTGTGTTGTCAACGCTGGATGGGTGTGTCGCAGCCGTGTGTCCGTAAAGAGCGTTTCTGGTAGCGAGAAATCGAGAAAAAGAACCCCCCACCCCCTGAAGAGTAACCGACCGAGCCTGACCGAGAGACCGTTTCTCAGGGTCAATGTTTTTTGTTCTACTCGTGAAAGTCCTTTTTTGTGTTTTCGGGATCCTGATGATGAAGGGGTAAAGAAATGTGTGAACTCCAAACTCCGAGTCGCCGGTTTGATGCAATCTTAAGCCGTTAATCCGTTAAAACCTGAGTCATAAAAGGCCCAAGCCTTGTTGTGTTCGTGAAGGGAAATGTGCGGTACAGTTTGAAGGTCCGCAGATTAGGGATTAGTGAGAAATGGTGACGATGGGTGGTGTGTGTTGATGTGGCTGATGAGAAGTAGCTTTCGCCAGCAATGAAGCATAGGTAGCCAAATTCATGCCTTTGTCACACTTGTAGAGATTCTGGCTGGAAGAATCAGTGTCGTCGAGAATGGTGCGAGTCATCAGAATGATGTGAGTGATCAGAGTGATGCGATCGGTCAGAATGATGTGAGCGATCCGAATGGTGTGAGTGATCAGAGTGATCAGAGTGATCCGAATCGTGATGAGCACTGTGTACAGACTCGACATCAGAGCTGTTAGAGCTGGACGAGTCCTCACCCGTAGTGCCGGCCTTGGAGTTGTTCCCTGAGCTGCCTGGAAGGATAGTCGAGGAGTCAAGGCTAGTGTATCCATCCGAATGTCCATCTGTCTGCTTCTTGAGGCCACCAATATTCGCCTTTCTAAGGAGCTTCTGTGCCTTCCTACTAGCAGCACGAGCTTTCTCAGCGGCACGTTCTGCCTGCACTTGTCGCTCCCACATCGAGGCGTAACGTCCGTTGGCGTTGACGAGTTCTTCGTGAGTGCCCTTCTCAGCGATGGTGCCGTTGTTGAGAACAATGATTTGATCAGCATGCGTAATGGTCGACAAGCGGTGTCTGCGAGCTATGTTAGAAAAAAACAAACCAACTGTGAGGCGGAAAAGGTGAAACTTACGCAATGACCAAAAGTGTCCTGCCCTGACCAAGGTGGCCAAGCCGATCTTGAATTTGTTGCTCTGTGTGGGCGTCGAGGGCTGACGTTGCTTCATCCAGCATGATGATCTTGGGGTTCTTGAGAATTGTCCGTGCTATTGCGACTCGCTGTCTCTCGCCACCACTGAGTTTAAGACCACGCTCTCCGACCTTTGTGTTGTACTTCTCTGGGAATGACATAATCCGGTCGTGGATGCTGGCAGCCCGACATGCTTCAAACACCTCCTCATCAGTGGCTGACTGGTTAGCGTATCTGAGATTGTACATTAGGGTGTCGTTGAACATTGTGGTATCCTGGGGGACGACTCCGATGTAACGTCTGACCGAATCAATAGTAAGGTTCTTGACGTCTTGACCGTCAATCTCGATGCTTCCAGAGGATGTGTTGTAGTACCGGAACATGAGGCGGAAAACCGTCGATTTTCCACCGCCAGATTCGCCGACAAACGCCGTGGTGGTGCCAGGCTTACACTCGAAGTCGAGATCCTTCAGGGCCTTATTCTTTGGATCGTAGTTGAACGCTACCTTGTTCCATCGGATGTTGCCGTTGCATTCAAGCAAGGGTTTGGCATCGGCGTCGTCAACCACGGTGGGCTTGACTTTGAATAGCTCCAGAAGACGCTCGCCCGAGATCATTGACTGTTGAATGGTCCTGTAGAAGGATCCGAATATGTTCAGAGGTGCCTGCAGCTGGTTGAGGAAGGTCATGAGGGTCAGGAATCTGCCGACATCCATTCCTCCATGGGTGACCTGGTAAGCTCCAAAGACCATGACCACAGTGAATCCAGCCATGAAAACAAAGGCTTGAATGACGTTCATCTTGTTGACGCCCCACGTTACCTGCTTTTCGGCGTCCTGGTATGCCTCGATAGCGTTGCGGTATCGTTGAAACTCCCACTGCTCGGCATTGAAATATTTGACCGTCTCGTAGCTGGTAATGGAATCGTTCTTGACGGCCTCTTCTTCTCTATCGGCGTTGGACATGAGCCTTCGCTGGTCTGCCCTAGTCTGTGCCATCCTAATAGTGAGGAACAGGTACCAGAAAGTTAGGCAGCTCACTATCGCGCCATAGGTCGCGTCGAAGTACCAGCAGAAGAACACAACGGCCAAGAGCAGATCGAGAATCATGGGTGCCACCGAGAACGTCACTTGCTCGAGAAAGGAGTTGATAGACGCGCCTTTGTTGAGTGCGGACAAAACCTCGCCGGTTCGCTTGCCGAGGTGGAAATCCAGGCTGAGAGAATGGACGTGCTCGAAGGCTGCTGTCGTCAAAGCCCTGTACGAGTTTTGTGAGATTGGTACCCATAAGATGGCTCGTGTCGCATCCAGAAGCATGCCTCCTCCTTGCAAAACCCGTAGGAAGATGAGCAGGCCCAACATATACCACGGAGCCTCTGCGAGGGTTAACTTCTTCGTGAGCCATCCAACAACGATTGGTACAGCTACGTTGATGGCACGCTGTGCCACCAAGAGGAGGACGCAGAGTGCATAGAGAAACTGCAGGTAAAGAGAGTTCTTGGGCCACTGGTAATCGAAGAACATCGTGTAGCTTCGCAGGTAACCCCACCATGTCGTTTGCGGCGCTTTGTCAGGTCGATAGAAGCCCGGCTCCTTATAGTCCTTGGTGATGTTACCACCTTCAGCCGCACCATTAGTGTTGCCGACAGTGCTTCCATTCCTAGAGCTTCGTACTGATCGACCATTCAAATCTCGGCCGTTTTGGCTGCTGTATGACGTCCGATGACCGTTAAGCAAAGGCGTCGTTTCCTCGGCGCCTTGAGACGAGTTTTGCAGCTCAGTCTTGTCTGCCTCCTGTTTGGGCGTGTGGAGCCAAGCAGCCCAGTAGATGCTGAGCATACACATTGTGAGTGCGATGCGGATGATGTAGAGAACGACGTCAGTCAAATCCCACTTAGATATATGCAGCGTTCTAGTCTCGAGTTGGGTTGTTTCGTCGCTTGCAAATCTCGGGTCCGCGGCCTTAAGCAAAGTGCATATGCAAATGACCAATTCGCCAATTA